TAGAACTTCTCGTGAGCTCCCATGAGATGCAGACAGCATAAAAGAAGACCAGCCATCATGGAAAGCACCTATAAGGTGTGAGTTCCCACGATGACCCACGCCACATTTCTGAGACACTGTGTGTTTTTACTTTTGTTTTTACCCTCTTTTTCTCTTTGTTCTGCCCATGTTTGCTCTGCAGAGCTGGTTTCTTCCATACCCACTTACCCCACATTTTCTGATAGGTCTCCCACCACCTCAGCAGCTATTATGTATAGTAACTGCCCTCTTCCTATGGTGCCTTGCCCCCTCCCCTGTGTGACGTCATGCCAAGATGATTGCTCCCACCAAAGGATAAACCCTTCTTTCCAGTATGCCCGTTCCTGCCTAGAAAGTAACCTAATACTTGCTCACCTCCTACCACTTAGTGACATCACCAGCTCCCCCATTCCCTAGTCACTACCTCACTCAACCCCGCCTCAGCCCCTACAAACCCCACCCTAGTCTCTATAAAAGACTCTCCCTGACCCTCCCATATTGCTTTTGTCTCTCCTTTGTTCAGAGACAGCCCGGCAGATCTATTCCCCTAATAAAGGCTTGCTGTGGCCTGGTCTGGTCTTGGTTTTTGGCCCTTTTACCTGACATTTTCAAATAAACTTTTGGCTCAGTTTTTGGTTTATCTCATCTAATTCTTTGTTCAAGGCAAAAAGGACCTGGAATATTTTTAAAGAAACTACAACAAACCTGCTTTACTTAAAATAGAACTCAGGAATACAAAAAATAAAAATTGTAGTAAGAAGGGGAAATAGGAAGGGATGTAAGGTGTAAAGTGGCTGATATGGCACACAATTATAGAAATGCTCACTGCTTACTAGAAATTGCCCTTTGTGAAACCTTTGCAGGTGTAGAATGGTTATTCTTAGAGACTCGCTGTGTACACTGGAAACCCTCTAAAAACTCCATGGCTGGGCCAGGGATTTAGCTTAGCAGCACTATGCCTGCCTCGAAAGCACAAGGTCCTGAGTTTGATCCCTGGTATTGAAAATAAAAGAAAATGCTGGACATGTTTACCTTGGCAGCACATATGCTAAAACTCCATGGCCCTCGGCTCTCCTTAGCAATACCTCATGCTAGCAACAGCTCACCTCAGCAGTAACTCCTCCCAGCAACAAAGGCTAAGACCCTGATTGGCTTAGAACCCCTATAAAAATGGGAAAAGACACCATCCATGCTCTCCCTCAGGGAAACTTGCCGTGACAGCTTTGTCCCCGCCTTCATAATATTATAAGTAAACCTCTGCTACATGTTACTTTCATTTTCTGAGTTCCTCATTATGTGCCAGAGGGATCTTTGGTTTTGAATCAGCCTTGCCTCACCCTTTGCATTTCTTGCTGGTGTGAGAAGACAAACCAGAACGGTGGAGTCTTTTCACAAGAAGACCCCTAGTCTCCTAGACCCCCGCCTGATGCAACAAAGTCATCCAGAAGAGACTTTGTTTAGGATTTATAGTATAAAAAGAGAACAGTGTACAGACTGGCCTAAAAAGGTATGGAAGGCTGTTTACATAGGGGGGAAGAAAACTGACTCATGCATCACACATACTTAGTGTCTTGCCAGACAATGGGAGACTTTCTGCTTTGTCATAGGGAGGGGAAGCACTCCTCATAGATCAAACTGGAAAAATGTTAAGTGGTTGTAGAGGAGCAGACTTATCAAGAGAGGTTGCAGTGTGGAGTCATCTGGGATAGACCTGTGACTCAGGCTTGCACCAGCCACGGGGAAGAAAAGAATTCTCCCCGAGTAGTTGTGCGGAGTTTGTAGCTCTGGCCAATTACAAGACATTTAGGACAGCTGCAGTTGTCAAACACAGAAGAAATAAAAATAAAAATGTCCTTACACAGTATTGGGTGCCTCTCTTCTCGGTGGAGGTTAATGAAATGATCATTTGAATATCTGTATGATTTGCATGGTGTTCACTTTTCATTTCTGGTACATAAATGTGCTCCCAAAATTCATTTTGCTGGGGAAAAATAATCATAGAACTAACTGGGCTTTGTTGTAGAGAACAGGGAAAGGGGACGTTACTAGAACCTCTGCATTAAGTCCTAGTCTCCTGTGAGCCACAACAGCACAAGGTGAATTAATGAATATACAGACAGAAATGAAATTTAGAGAAGCTGAGCTTTGAGCCTGATCAATTCTGCTCTGGGCAGCAAAGACAAATATCTGCCACACATTTATTCAGTACACAGGGAAAAACAAATGTAGCAGATGACTCAGAGGGTGGCGATAATCCTAGAACAATGAGGAACTATGAAGATGAAGATTTTGTTCCTTCCCAAGATGTCTTCAGCTGGTGTAATCCTGCCCTGGAGCATCACAGCATCACAGGACCATGGAGGTCGTAGCTGTGACCAGAGGCAAAAACGGAGTTATGTCTCAACCTGCCCTAGCTGGCCTGTAGGCAGGAAAACTAGGACTTAATTGAAGGACCCTAGTTAGCAAGACAGACTCCATATTGCTGCTTGACCCACCTGCCTGCCCTTTAGATGAACTCAGAAGGAGGAAGTTTAAAAACCTCCTCCCTTTAGAAAGTCTCTTCAGAAATAACAATCAACTATTGTTTTACAAATGTTCTAACAGCAGGATGTTCTGCTTCTGTACCTTTTGCTTGCTTTACTAGTTCTATCCCATAGGGGGGCCTAGAAACTGTTGGCCTCAAAGGTGTATAAAACATGTTTGTCAACCCCTGGTCGAGGTTCAAGTCCGATGCTCAGCTCGGGTCCCGGCTGGTAATAAACTCCTGTGTGGATTTAATATCGTTCTCTGGTTGCTTCTCTCTCACTGGGTGTAACACTAATCATGACTTAATTGTGAAATGATTTTCCCCAAAATTATGTAGGATTGCTCCTGACACTTAGGGGTGTGCACACACGAAGTCCCAACTATTTAACAGGCTGAGTCAAGAGAGTTTGCTTGACTCAGAATCCTAAGGCCAGCCAAGGCAACATAGCAAGGCCCCATCTTAAAAAAAAAAATTATATGGCTTATGATGAAAGAGGGATTAGAAATACAATAGTCAAAAACTTTATCAAGGACATATCAAAAACATGTTAGAAACCCAGTAAAAAGTATTAGCAGACTTTTATACATGTTAAACAGTTAAAATACATGAATGCTATATCCACAAAGACATCTACGTGTATTCTGATTGTGTATTTGTCCATGACTTGATTTGGCTGTGTGAAGTTTTCTGCATTCACCTGTTTTTTGCAGACAATATTGCACATAAGCAAACTGAAGTTCACATTACGCTGATTTTTCTTTCAGTCATATTGGTATAAGTTTGCATTTTCAACACAATATGCTGCAGTTCCTACTAGGCCATGTCCATGGACAAGTGAAGCCTAGGGGCTTTTTCCTACATGGACTTCAAATGCACTCATCCTCAAAATGGGTATACCCATGGCTGGAGAGTCACTATGTGTATATGGGTCAGGTGTTGGATTCTGACAGCTCTTCTAGAAGCTTATGACTGCATTTCAAAGGGAGCCTACACAGTAGCTAGGTCACAACTCCAAGTCCTACATCCTAAAGTGAGCCTCCTTTCACTAGAGCCTTCAATAAGCAAAACCATCAGGTCCAGAGATTTGTTTTGTCTCAGATTTCCAAAGAATTCAGTCAGATCAAAGGACCTCATGCTAAATCATGGGCCAATCTCTAGTTAGTGGCTTTGACAAAAGAGTGGGCCCTACTAAATTCTTCATCTATAGCTCATCAATGGAAAAATACCTTCTGGCAAGTGTAACACAGGAAATTACAAGTTTGAGATATCCTACTATAATTCAGATGCAAAAGCAATAAAGAGACTGATATAGACCAAAGGCCCCACCCATAGTCACTTTTTCTCCCCCACTATAACGTTTGTTGGAACCATGTCAGCTAAATTCAGGTGCTTTTCTTCCTATATGCCTACTTGTCTCAGGTGGTAACAGCTTCCAGATCTTGCTACCTCCTAGTCTGGGCTTTCAGGAAAGGAATCAAGGGTTGATGGGTGTTAGAAGTTGGTGGAGTTGGCCAAAGAATGTGGGAAAGTTTATTCTTTGGGGCCTCGCCCAAGGCCAATGTCCTTGCTTGTGGACCTGCCAGTACAGGGATGTACTGGGCTCCACGGCTTTTCCTTTACATCCCTCTGCAGAGACTGTTTGTCATGTTGATACCTAAGTATCTCCTTTCATGGAGCAATTGTAAATGAGATTGTTTTCAATTTGTGTTCATATATTTCTTGTTAGTATACAGAAATGTACAGGTTTTGTTATCTTTTTGTATTTGCTTATTCTACAAGATACAATGTCATCTGTAAACAGTGAACAGTTTTCTTCCTTATTTGTATAATTTTAATTACTTTTTTTGAGTGCCTTCCTACACTGACCAAAATTTCCAGTATTGTTGAATAAGAGTTGTAAATAACAATCTTGCCTTATTCCTGATTTTAAAGGGAAAGCATTTAGTCTTTCAACATTAAATATGATAGCTATATAATTTTTGGAGATAATCAAACTGAGGAAGTTTGTTTTTTATTCCTAGTTTGCTGAGTTTTTATCTCAAACGTGCTGCTGCATGGATGTTTCAATTCTCACTGATAATCACATTTGATCAAATACTTTTTCTGCATCAGTATGTATCGTGACATGGTTCTTCTTTAGCCTACTGACATGGTAGATTACAGTGATAGTTTTTTATTTTACAGATATATTTTTAATGTTAAATCAGCCTTGGATACTTGGAATCAATGGTTAAAAGGGAAAAAATGAGCACTAGGCATGGTGGCACAAGCCTGCAATCCCAGCACTTGGGAAGCCAAAGCAGAAGGATAACTGTAAGTTCGAGGCTAGCCTGGGCTATAGAGTGAATTCAAGACAGCCTGAACTACATAGGAAGATCCTGTCTCAAAACCCCTCTGCCCCCCAAAAAGGGCAGGGAAGGGAAGGAAAAACAAAAAAATAAATGGCTAATGGATCTCTAGTACTAATTCCTGTTTATTTAATCACATTGATGATTTGTATTTTTTCAATTTTTATCTTAGTTGTGCTAGAGATTTAGAAGTTTTACTATTTTTTAATAAATAAAAAAGCTTTTATTAGAAAAAAAAGCTTTTATTTCTAAAATGTGGCTTAATCACACCCACAATGTGCTAAGCTGGTTCTGGAATTGATCCTGCCACACTGATCAAAGGATGACCAGTCAGGGCTCCCAGTCCTGGGCACCAAGATGTCAGTCCTCTGGCAACTCAATCTATAAAGTTTTTCTTCAGCTGTTTTTTGTGATTTCCAGTGGGTCGTGCAGTAATGCTCTGTATGACAGACAGGTCTGACTTTGAAGAAGAGTGACAACCCACATCCTCTGCTTTTATGGGCTTAATGATATGGCCTGGCTTGGTGACTACCTTGGGGGTGGTGAGCTTTTGGAAGGCCCTCTGGGTGTTCCATGAAGACCCTATAGGGGTCTGGATGGTCCTTTCAAATTGCTGATAGTGAGTGAATGGATATGGAACCACCTGTACCTGATGAGCTGCTGCATGGATGTTGCGCTTCTCATTGATAATCACATTTGGCAAATTCTTGTCTTTTCTTGGAGGACCTTCAGGGGCTTTAATGAGAAACCGACATCTTTTCTTGGCATTGGGCTTCAGGCATACACCACCCCACTTGCCCCAGCCAGGCAGCGTCAGGTCCACATCTTTTGGCTTATTTGTCTCCACAGCCTCCCTCTTCTCCTTCAAAAAATCTCTGATGACATCATCTCCAGCAAAAGCTTCCTTTATCATCTGCTTTAGGTTTCTTTCCTCTTCATCTTCCAATTCCTCTATTGCTGTGGGAATGGCCAAAGACTTCATAGAAGGAGATTTTGTAATCAGGAAGTTCTGGAGATCAATCACTTGCTCCTTCTTCTGCCCCTTAGGGGCATCAGTCTGGTTATTTAGGTTTCTTTTCATTTTATCCCATTTTAACAAAGGTCTGGGGAGTTCCTTATTTTGAAAATGCCCTTCTTTGCCCAGATCTTCTAGTTCTTCCAGAATTTGTACTCTCTCTGGCCTCTGAAGCAACAGATATTGCTCTTTTTCTGAGGCACATTCCTCTCTTTGGCCCTGGAGAATTGTCCCTGCCTGACTCACTGTTTGCTTCTTGGAGTGATGGTTTTCCTTGTTGAGTTTCTGATTCAATGCCCTCAATTTGGATAATATGCCCTGGTTGCTAGAATCTTTTGTTTCTTGGCTGCCCACTGGCTCAGTATCCTGGTTGAGCTGAAATCTTTTTCTAAGGGATGGTCTTTCCTCAGATTCTTCCAACAAAATTTCTTCCTCTGCTTCTGGTCTTTCATCTTCCTCACTTGTAGAAAACTTCCGGACAACAGGCTCAGGTAGTTGTTCAGGGTCTGTCTGGATTTCACCTTCTTTTTCATTACTGTTACAATTCCTAAGCATCCAAGGATTTGGCCAATCTGCACACATCTGTATTTCATTCACTCTATCAGGGACAAGAGGGTCTTCCTCTTTGGCACCCCTCTCCTCATCCTCACTTTCTGAGATTACCTGGAGTTTCTCTGTCAGTTCTTTGTTCTTAGCCAATTGTTTTTGCACAGCTTGGCGAGCCTCCAGGTCATATCTGGCCATATTTGTCTTTGACTTGGCCCATTTCCCACTGTTCTGGTGCTTAAGGCTCATTCGCTCAATCATTCTGGCCTTTTCAGTTTTTTCCAGTTCATCCAGTGCAACAGTAGGATTCACTTTCCACAGCTGATCAAAATCTTTTAGGGCTTTCTTGGCCTTTTCTTTCTTTACAAATCTGTGAAACTTTTTACTTTTGATTTTCTTCTCTCTTTTTGCCCTGGCCTCATAGTAGGACTGCAAAGCCCGGGCCCTCTGAAGCTCTGCTCGGTGCATCTTAGCCTCTTCTAGGCTCATAGCTTTGAGAGAGGCCTTTTCCATGGGAGACAATAAAGGGTCTGTCACTGGCTGCTTGTTTTTATGAAGGAGGTTAAAAATCTCTTGCTCCAGAGGAGTTCTTGCCTTATAGCCACTGAAGACAAGTTCAATGTGAACAAAGGGTGACTGCTGCTTCTCCAGGGGAAACAACAGCTGCTCTGCTTGCCGGTTCTTGAGAACAATAGGATCCCATTTGGAGAGGGTTTGTGATGCTTTATTGAATGCTACTTCTCTGTGGATCTGTTCAACTTCTTTTTTGTTAAGAGGTAATTCCACAGTCTTCCTGGATTTAACTCTATTCAGTTGCTTTTTCATAGCAGCCAATGAAGACGAAGTTCTAACAGGATCAAGAAGATCTGAAAGGACCAGCTTTTCTTCTGATCTTTCAGAACTCACAGTGAATTCTAATATCTTCAAACTAGCTTCAGATCTTTCAGCCAATTTCCACCTATTCTTTTCATCAAGAGAACCAATTGCTTCCAGAAGCTTTTGATGCTTTCTCTCTCTGTCACTGTCCCCCTCATCTTCACTAACACTCAAAGGGTAGTTGTTTGGTAAATCCACAAGTTCTTCCTGCTGGTTTAAAGCCAGAAGGCCTTGCATAGCCTGAATCATATTTATTTTGGTAGCCTGCATCAACCATATGGGTCAAGAGTGGAAGCTAAAAGCTTTTTTATTTTTGAGGAACCAGATTTTTGTTTCATGGATTTTCTCCATTACTTGTCTGTTTTCAATTTCACTGATTTTCACTTTTGATCTTGTATTAGTCCATTTTCTATTCCTGTAACAGAATATTTGAGAGTGAGTACTTGTAAAGAAAAGAGGTCTATTTTGGCTCATGGTTCTACTCCAATGTCTGTTCACCTTTTGGTGAGGGCCATATTCTGTTACGTGGATGAAAAAGTAGAAAGGGAAGTGGGTACAAGCACAAAAGAGAATAATAAGAAGCAAAGGACTTGACCCACTTTATAATAAACCATTCTTCAAAGAAATTGATTCCTATAAGAAATATAATAATACATTCATAAGGGTAGACCCTGAGAACCTCTTTAAAGACCCCACCACCTCTTAACATAGTTACACTGAGAACCATAACTCAACATAAAGTTTTGGTGAAAACAAATCATACTGGAACACAGTAAAAGTTTAGTATTTTTTTGGTCTAGTTAATTTGAGTATGTTTTGTTCTTATATTTCTTAAATTTTGCGGGGTAGTAACTTAAAGAATTGATTTTAGACCTTTCCTTTGTTTCTAATATCAGCATTTAGAGCTATGAATTTCTTCTCAACACTGCTTTAGTTACTTCTCACATATTTTGATATGCTACACTAATATTTTCCATTGTTCTATATACTTTAAAAATTTTCTTTGAGCTGGGCATGGTGGCACATGCCTAAACTCCCAGCAGCCAGGAGGCTAAGTCAGGAGGCTTGCCCCAAGTTAGAAGCCAGCCTGCACTACATAGTGAGCTCAAAGCCAGCCTGAAGGACACAGCAAGAGCCTGTCTCAAAAAATACTTCCTTTGAAACTATCTTTTATTCACAGATTAAATATATGTTCTTTCAAGATTTCCTGTTGTCTTTTCTATTACAGTTGTAAACACAAACTTAAATTCACTCCATGATTTTGGTAGAGAACCGAATTGTTCGAGAATAGAACCATTCATGAACTGAGGTATTACAATGAGCCTTATGGAGAAATTTGATTCAGTTCTCAACAAGAATGGTGGACAAATTGAATTCGTGAAGCAAATTATCACTTTACTGGTTTCAAGTTTTATTCCTTTATGATCAGAGAAAATAATCCAAAAAATTTCCACCATTTAAAATTTGATGAAGCTTATGACTGAGTATATAGTCACTTACAGTATATTTTTCCTTGGTACTTTAACAATGTATTCTCTTGGTTTGGTATAGCATGTTCTAAAATCTCAATGAGATCTTCTTGGCTGATTGTGTCATTCAGTCCTATATTCTCAAATGAGACAGTGGTTCTATCTGTTGCTGTGAGTAGAGTATGGATGTTCCCAACTATAATTACTGAATTGTCTATTTCACCTTTTATTTACTATCAAGTGTTTACTTCATATATTTTGAAGACCTGTAGTTCAATGTGTACATATTTGCTCTGAAATCTATTTTATCTGTTATTAATGTAGCCACTCCAGCTTTTAGTATTTGCATTACATGTAATTTCCCATTCCTTTAATTTTAACCTTTTTTTTTTTTTTTTTGGTTGTGTCCCAGTCATTTTCTTCAACCCTGAGATACAATGCCTGACTCTCATAACTTACAGGAGATTTCTTTTCGCTCACTTACAGTCCATGATCAGCTGGCACCAAGGCAGGAATGGCATGGCAAAGGGGCACTGTGGAGGACAGCTGCTCACATCATGGCAGCCAGAGAACAGAGAAATGATAAACCCAGGATGGGGACATACCCTGCCAGGTCAAGCACCCACTGATCCTCCTCTTCTGGTAAGACCCCACCTCCTAACAGCAACTTAGCTATAATGCAGGATAAGCCCTGCCTCTGAGCACATGAGGCCCTTGGGAGGCATTTTTTTATTAGTACGTTTGCAGTACATGCAGTTTACAATCATTTGGGGGAGAGGGTACATGTACCTAATACAGCTTGTTTCTTTTTAAAAAATCTCCTCCCTCTTCCTTTCTCTTCTACATCCCCCCTTCCACCATTTTCATTCTTCTTTTTTTTTTTTTGGTACCAGGGATTGAACTCGGGACCTTGCACTTGTGAGGCAGGCACCAGAACCACTGAGCTAAATTCCCAGCCCCTCATTCTTGTTCTTATTAATCTTAAAGCTCATGTGTATGAGATACAGTGTTTATGTTTACTGAGGTACAGGGCCCATCTTTACTCTACTTATTTCCTTTTCCTTTTCCCTTTCCCCTCTCTTCTCACCCACATTCTCTTGGATCCCTTCTCATTTACAAGAGATATATCCCTTTGTCTCCTTCTACCCATATTTTATTGTGCTGTATTTCACCTTACTCAAATGAGAAATATATGACATTTAAGCTTGTGTGTCTGACTTATTTCACTCAGCACTGTATTTTCCAGGTATATTCATTTTCCTACAATGTCTCAAATTTGTCCTTCTTCATAGCTGAGTAGTATTCCATTAGATACCACATTTTCTTTACCCAATCATCTAGTAATGGGTATACAGGCTGCTTCTAAGAGTTAGCTATTATGAATTGTGCTGCTATAAACACTGCTATACATGTATCACTATAGTATGATGTCTTTAGCTCTTTGGGAAAATATCTAGAAGGGAAATGGGTGGGTTGTGTAAATTTCTAATTTTAGTTCTCTGAGGAATTTCCATAGTGGTTGTACTCATTTACATTCTGGGGGACATTCTTGATATAACCCTTAACTGGTTTTTATGTTATCCAAGTGGCCTCAAACTTCTAATGTTCCAAGTGTTATCAAACTCCTAGCCTCAAGCAATTCTCCTTCTTCAGTGTCCTGAGTTCTGAGACTACAGGTATGCACAGTTGTGCCTACCTCAGTGATGTGAAGTAAGCTTTTTTTTTGGTTCCAGGAATCAAACTCAGGACCTTGCACTTATCAGGCAGGCGTGACAGCACTGAGCTACATCCTCAGCCCTTGAAGTAAGCCCTCATGAACAGTATAGAGTTGGACCATTTTAAATACTTACCGGTCCAATTATTTAAATAGAGGCTGACCAAAAGTTGCAGATTTTTCCACCAATTTTTATAAGATAACAGGAAATATAAAAATAACAAGTACAAGTGTTCAACTGGTTGAAGTTACACCTGCCTGAGTGACTCCTGGGACAGTCAATATGTAAAAAAAGGCACTTCCCAAGTGATCTTTGGAGTAAACTATTAAGTGGTTAAAAATCCACTTTAAAAAGTAAAAGAGCGGGGATTTAGCTCAGTGGTTCCACCACCTGCCTCGCAAGCGCAAGGTCCTGAGTTCAATCCCTGGTACCAAAAAAAATTTTTTTTTTTTACTTTAAAAAAAATTTTTTAAAATTTGAAACCGTCTCACTTCATAGTGCAGGCTTTCTTTGAACTCACGATGTAGCCCAGGCTAGCCTCAAACTCACAGGCATCCTCCTAATCTCCCACCACCACCCTCAGAGTGCTGGGATTACAGGTGTGTGCCACCACGACCAGCATTTACTCCTCCTTTAATCCATTCTGATGTTCTGTCTTTTCTGAAGTTTCAAGACTTCTGCCATCATTTCTTTGTATTTCTCATTACCTTTATTTATTCTTTAAGAGTATGTTTGCTAGTAACAAAATTCTATTAGTTATTCATCTGTGTTTCAGTTGTTTTCACTTATGAAATGTATACACCTCCTTCTGGCTGCCACTGTTTCAGATAGAACTTACCTAGTGTTCTAGTTTATATTCCCTATATATCTTCTTCTCTGCCTTCAAGACTTTTTTATCTTTAGTCTTCAGAAGTTTAACTGATGTGCCTCAGTGTAGATTCCTTTGGGTTTATTTCCTCAGTTTCTTGAATATGTATGTTTACACTCTCAGGATTTTGTTGTTTTTATTTTTGACCAATTTAGGGAATTTTCAGCCATTCGTTCTTCAAATATTTTTCAGTTCCACTCTCTTGTCTTCTTCAGGGACTAAAGTGCAAGCTTTTTAGTCACGGTCATCTCCATAGGTCCCTGAAACATGGTTTTTAAATCAACCTTCTGAAAGTGCCCCGTGTTGATGACCAAGCCTTCAACACATGGCCTTTGGGACAGATTTACTATCCAAACCATAACAAGCTGTTATACTTTTCAACTCCAGAATATACTTTTAGCTCTTTTAAAATAATTTCTCTTTATAGATACTGTCTATTTGATCATACCGGTATATCATTCTCTTGCTTTGCTCTCATTTTTTTCTTTCTGGTTGCCTTCAACTCTTAAGCACATATAAATTCGACAATTTAATATCTTCATTTAATAAATCCAATGTTTCTCAGAGGTATTCTTTATCATTCTTTTGAGTGGGCCATGTGTTTCTGTTTTTCATGTCATTCAATTTTTGTTGATACTGGGTATTTTTAATATTACAAGGTGATCTCTTTGAGAATCAGTTCTCCCACTTATCTAGTGTTTGCTGTTTCCTATTGAGGTCAGCAGTTACCAGTGAGGTTAGTTAGTCAAACTACAGTAAGCCCTTGACTTACTAACATTCAAATTGTGAACTTTCATAGCTGCACTATGTGAGACTTACTTTTCAGCTTACAAACAAATCTGATTTACAAACAATTCTCTCAGAAAAGAACTTGTTTGTAAGTTGAGGACTTTTACTATAATTTGCAAAGATTATACAGAAAATCTCTGACTTATGAACATTCAAGTTAAGAACTTTCACAGGTGTATTGTATAAGACTAACTGTTGGCTTATGAATGAATCCAACTTACAAACAATTCTCCCAGAACAGAACTTGTGCACAAGTCAAGGACTTACTATATTCTTCATTGTGTGTGGTCAATGAACTTTCATATCCTTTTTTCCAGTAGATACAGTGGTACCTCAGTTCATGAACTTAATTTGTTCTACGATTCTGGTTTCAAACCAAACTGACCACAAACCAATTAAAATTTCCCCAAGGTTCAATGTAACTAAAGTTAATCTGTTCTGACCCCGACAAACGTAGTCATGAACCAATTTTGGTTATAAACCAAATCAAATTTTCTCATAAGGTTCAATGTAAATAAGGTTAATCCATTCTGAACCATATGTATTTTTTAACCACAAAAATATGAAAAAAGGGGCTTGGGATTTAGGTCAGTGGCACCGCACCTGCCTCCCAAGTGCAAGATACTGAATTCAACTGCTGGTATGGGGACTGGGGGAGGAATACATGAAACAAAGTACCGCACAGTATGAAGAGAGGGAACAATAACCTTGCTTGAGATGATTTCTGGCATAGAGGACAGAAAGGTATGTGTGGAGGAGGTTATTGTTTGGAGGGAGAGTACTCCTCCATTAAAGCCATTGGGGAGTTCTCCTTCAGGGGTTTCCTCTCATCTTTGTCTCTTAGCTGCAGGGTCAATTTTGACAAAAAAAAAAAAAAAATCTGTCTAATGGCACTTGTCTTTTCCTGTGCTGCATAACCCTTTGGAAATGAAAGACCACGTAATCATTCATCAGATTCAACATTGTTTGTTACATTTACATTGGGATGATGCTTCTCAAAAAATTCTGGCACACTTTCCATTTTTCCATAATGGATTTATCACATCACTGCTAACCTCCTTCCTGTCTTCCTCTTTCTCAGTGGAATGTTCCTCAACAAGTGCCTTCTGCTGCTTACTCTGCCCTGCAGTGCCTGATTCATGAATTCCCAAGAATTCTTTCTTGTAGGCTTCTGCAGCAGCCTTGTCAGAACTGGAAGCCTCACCACGTCTTATCACACTGTGGATGCCACTTCTCTTGCAGAATTTATCAAACCACTCTCTACTGGCTTTAAATTTATCCTCTGTTGCACTTGCAGAAGGGTTTTCTCATAGCAAATCACTGTGCAATTTCCTGGCTTTTTCACAGATCATATCTTCACTAACACTATCGCCTGCCAGCTGTTTCTCATTCAACCAGACTAACAAAAGTTTTTACACCTCTTCCAGCACTTGTGACCTCTGCTTGGTTAATGTTGTTACTTCTTTTGCCACATCAGCTCCTTTGATGGCATCTTTATTCTTCAAAATAGTCAAGACTGTCGACTTTGCCATCTTGTACTCAGAGGCCAGATCAGTCACACAAATACCATGCTCATGCTTCTCTACAATTTCCTTCTTCAATTCAATGGTTATTTTCTTCAGAACCTTCTTACCATTCTTGCTCTGCACATTCTTGCCACCTTCATTATTGCTCTGCACTTTCTTTGGAGCCATACTTGATTGAACACTGTACAGTACTGTATGCGCTGAAAAGCACCACAAAAGTTTCACAGCAAGTGTGCGCAGGTCTATCTGCAACTAAAATCTTGACTACAGGAAGCCACGACCATGTGTCAGAGCGAGGAAGATAGCTGAGTTTGTGTTCACGCAGGGAAGATGGCTGTGATTGTGTTTGTCATCCAGTGTGGAGTTCATGAATGGAAGCAAAATTCTGCTGAATGCTTCTGTTTGAGAACCTAACTGTTCTCAAACAGAAGCATTCATGAACTGAGGTACCACTGTATAAAATTCCTTAAATGCCTGAAACCAGAAAAAAAATTGCAAGTCTCTGCAGAATGCCCCTGTAGTAGGATAGTCTTTGCACATTCATCTAGGCTTCCTGTAAGTCTACCTTATCCTTATTCTTTTGCTTGTGCAAAGTCCAAAGAGGAGCCAGATGGGCAAACCTAATGTCCTCTCAGGTTCTGGGCATGCATCTAGCCAAGAGCATGTATATTATACTCAAGATTCCCCAGTTTACTGAGTATCTCTTCAAGCCTTTTTTCTTTCAAGAATCTTCCTCTTAGACTTGTCTTCTCCAGATATTTGGAGCTGACTGCTGCTTGACATACACTGCTCCTTGCCCTAGCTAGCTACAGGTAGTATTATCTTAAATGCTTTGGACAGACTCATCCTAGGAAGCACTGCAGCCCAAAAGGGGAAAAACAAGGGCAAGCCTCTGTGTTGGTCTCTCAAGGAACTTTCAGACAAGTCAACACACTGAGCCACAGTTGTTTTGGTTTTTTTTTGGTATCGGGGATCAAACTCGGGTCCTTGTGCTTGCGCAGCAGGCAGCGAAACCACTGAGCTAAATCCCCGGCCCTGAACCACAGTTTTAAAGAGCAAAATCTATTTTCCTGCTGGTAACTACTAGCTGCATCAGCAAAGGCTGCTGTCACCATAGCCTGCACAGCTGGGAGTGAGGATGGGAGGCTGGCAAATACAAATTCTACAAAGCTCACCAAAATTCTTCATTAAGTTCTCTCCTGCCTGTGTTTTATTAGATTCCACAGTTCCCAAAAAGTTGATTCTGTTTTTGCCAACTTAATGGCTGATTTAATGGAAGGACTGATTATTGAAGTCCTCAGTTCACCCATTCCCTTAATGCCACATCCCACCAACCTTGATGAATTGGTACTCACGTCCTTTTAATACCAAATAATGACATATTGTAATTTTCTTCACATAGATATTCCTAATTTCTTATATAACCTGATGCTAGTACAATAGTACCTCACTTCATGAACTTAATTCTTTTCACGATTCTGGTTGCAAACTGAACTGGATGAGAACCAAATCAAACTTCTCCATAAGGTCAACACTGAACCTAGCCATTGAATTTGATTAAGTTCTTGTCCAATTCAGATGGCAATCAGAATTGTAGAAAGAATAAGTTCATGAACAGAGGTACCATTGTTTTTTGTTTGGTTGCTGTTCTACATGAAGTTCTATTTTCTACACTATCACTGGCATATAAGAAAGTTGATGTTATTAAAAATTACTAAGAGATAATGTCCACTATGTATTGTTTGGTGCAAAAAGTTACAAACTATTATGATCTTGGTTTTGGATCTAATGATCCTATTTTTGTAATGATATCAGAGAGATTGCCCAGGATATTTAACCTTGGCTGTCTGTGGGAAGTCAGAATATATGAAATGTGTTCATTTGTATTTTATCTGAATTTTGCATATATTATGCTTTTGATTTGTGGTCGTGTTCACAGTTGCCCATCATTTAACCCACTGTCTTAGCTTGGCAGAACATTAGCCAGGCTTCTATCCTCAACACTGGCCCCTGAACTTTGGCCTTTCCCCAAGTCTGAGATAGCACTCACCTGCAGAATGGGTGCTGTTGGGGATATACATTTCCTGTTAGACTAATCCCACCAGGCCACTTGCTTTCCAGTTCTTCTCAAAAGTTCTATTTTATTCCTTACAGATGGAAATCTGATTTTGAGATGCTAATAAACCCTGAATTCTGCTTTTCTATTGCAATAGATTTCTTGAGTAAGTTTCCTTGCTTAGGACTGTTTTTTTTGGTATAGGGGATAGAACTCGGGTCCTTGTGCTTTCGAGGCAGGCGGCAGAACCACTGAGCTAAATCTCCAGCCCCACTTAGAACTTATTTTTAAGAGGCAATTTGCTCTTCTTTTTCACTCCTGGGAGAAACGCTATAGTTTGTTTTTTTAAACAGGATTTTATTGATAGTATTTTAATACGTTTAATTTCCTTGTGTGTAACCATTTCATTTATATTGGCATGCGTGTGCGTACACGCGAGCACCTCCTGCTCCTTTAAGTCTTACCTTGACTTACGTCTTTGCTCCCTCGGGTAGCTGGTGTTGAACTGACACGCTGGCTGTCGACAAAACCCACCTTCCTGGGTACCAAGAAGTCTAGGTGGGGTGGCAGCTGCAGCTCAGTTGGCGGCACCCACTCTGACCGCGGCACACAACGTGCGTTCAGCTGCTTTACCGCAGGCCGCGACTCCTGTTGCGCACTCGCGGCTCACGCGGGGCCCTGCCGCGCACGCGCGCGGGGTTGTCAGCCGCTGCGGAAGACGCGGGGCTCGCCGGGAGTAGCCATTGCGCGCGTCGCGAAAGTGTGGCCGGCGGCAGTGGTGGCGGAAGACAGGCAAGGTGGGCGGCGGGCGCCTCCGAAAGAGGCTGGGCGAGAGGAGGTGCCCGCTGGGCGTGGCACCGGCCGCTGATGCGGCCTGTTTGGGAGCTGCGGTGGAGAAAGTGTCTGGGAAGACTATGAGCTCCCGTGAGAATGGATTTCACCTCTGAAGTGGAACACCTGCCTCGTGGGGTCGTCCTGCAATCCATGATGAACAGTGCCTGTCGGTGGCCGCTGCTGGGCCCGAAACACCTCCGCTGCTTCCGGATCATACATCCTTGCCCTAAGGCCAGGATAGCCCTCTCAGGAAGGAAAATTATGGACCAAAGTCAGAAGCGGGCGGGCAGACAAACCAGAAGACACTTACCGCGTCTTTCCTCTAAATGGGTAGCCATTTACCAGTAAGCACCGCCTCCACCGCCTTAGGCAGAAGTAATTTTCAGTGTCAAGAAATGATTTGAAGGATTGAAACATTTTTCTTGGATTTCTACATATCGTATCGTCAGAGCCCTTGGGACAGACAGCATAATTGTTTTGGAGTAGATCTGAACAGTCCAGACTTATGTTCTCAGCAGCCTTGATTTGAATGTATAGATTTTAGAGTGGAATATTTTTAGTGTGACCTTGGAGGAAGAGTCCAGTAGTAATGGATTTGTACATTTCTCAGACGCATTTCTCGTTTTCTTTTCTTTTTTTGGTACTGGGGATCGAACTCGGGTCCTTGCACTTGCAGGGCGGAACCACTGAGCTAAATCCTTGGCCCAAAGAAAGTTTTTCTTTGGTACGGGGAATCGAACTCAGGACCTCGTGCTTTCGAGGCAGGTGCTGGAACCACTGAGCTAAATCCCCAGTCCGCATTTCTCATTTTCCTTGGAACAGAGCGCACCTCTTATGAAGAGGGAAACATCGCCAGAAACAGGATCCTCTGTAGAAGAAAATTACGTTGGAGTGAGTTTCCAAGAAGGGGCAGAACCCAGAAAGGACATTTTCACAGGCTCTAGTTGTCAGACACTATGTATACAGGTATTGTAGAAAAGCAATTTTAAAAATGACTTATCTTAGGGCTGGGGATTTAGCTCGGTAGTTCCACCACCTGCCTCGCAAGCACAAGGTCCCGAGTTTGATCCCCGATACCAAAAAAAAAAAAAAAAAAAAAAAAAAAGACACCTTAAAGCACCTCCTTTCCTTTTTTTCATAGCTTTGGATGAGTTCTCTAACTCAAAGGGTAAAACCACGAAAAATAAATATGCAGAGCAACTTTTGGTGAAGGCCTAGAGTTACTTCATGGAGTATGTTGAAATTTATTTCACCAGTTTTCTCACTTTTAAATTTTCTTTGAGAATACGAAGTGATACATTGTTTTACAAATGGATAGAAAACAATAATATTCATCTAGTAAAAACATTGCACATCCATGTTCCACGTGCCTGTCACTATCACAGATGGACACATGAATGCTTCTTTATATGTCCCTTCCTATGCCTCTCCAGGGCAAAGGATGTTCTCCCACGGAGAGGCATTTTACCAGGGTGTTATGATTTAGGTCTTAAACATCCCCTAAAAGCTTTTCTGTTGAAGATTTGGTCCCAAGGCATCAGTGTTCAGTGTTGGGAGATAATTGTATCACAAGAACACTGACCTTATCAATAGATTAATTCATTGATGGATTCATGACTTAATGGGCTATCGGGAATTGGTGGGGACATTAGGAGGTATGGCCTGATGGGAGTTAGTAGGTCACTGGGGGCACGCCCATGAAGGGTATATTTTCTCTTTCATTTCTTTCCCTTTCTTTCCTTCCTGGCCACCATGACAGAGCAGCTCCCGCCAACATCCCAGCGCCAGTGCCAGAGGGCCCTGTGACCATGGAGGGAAACCTCTGAAACAGTAAGCCAAAAATAAATCTTTCCTCCTTTAACTTCTCTGAAGTGTTTTGTCACAGTGATGCAAAGCTCACTGACACAGTAGGTGATGTTTGTATCTTTTTATGTAGGCAAAACCAAGAATTGCAAGGCAGTTCATATCTCTAGTGACTTCATTCCTTTTTTTCTATCCCAGATATTCTTTTATAGATTTCTACATTCTTCAAAAATCAGCAGATAATGGACAAATCCCCTGTGAGTTGTTGAAGTCATTCTTTACTTTTTTTTTACAGTGGCTTTTATGAGGAAATGACTCTTACACTTAAAATAGAAAAGTAGAAATAAATGTAATGAACTTCAAGGAAACAATATAACACAATGGGTTTTAAAGCTTTAATGTACATAGAATCACCTGGAAAGATATTAAAACACAAAATAGGGCCTGAAATTTACATCTTAAGATTGTATGTGATGCTGCGGTCTACCAGCCAATAGCCTTGGAATAGCAATTCAATAGGGCTAAATTAGCAAACAGATAGATCAGCCGTGTGAAGTTTTCAATTTAGGGTTGCAGATATTTCTCACCTGTGGGAAATAAGAGTATGTGTTATATGATTTTTATTGATCATAATGATGAAGCTACCTGATTTCTTCTGGTTCATCAACACTGTCCAGAACTGAAAGCTGAAAATAAAGACCTTCTGTTGCTTTTTAAATCAGTAATGAACAGCCTTCTAGTGGCTACTGTCAGGAAAAAGGCCGAAAACTAAGATCAGACCAGGCCACAACAAAACTTTATTAGGGGAACAGATCTGCTGGCCTGTTTCTGAACAAAAGCAGCAAGTGCCTTTTATAGGGGCTTGTAGGAGCTGAGGTGGGGTTGAGTGAGGTAGTGGCTAGGGACTAGAGGAGCCTGTAATGTCACTAGTTGCTACAAGGAGAGCAAGTATTAGGTTACTTTTTTGGTGGGAGTAGGGGTGTGTTAGAAAGAAGGTAGCTATTATATACAACAGCCACCCTAAATTGGAGGGAAATCTATCAGCTACCATGAAACAAATTCCTATAATTTCTCAGTAAAAGCAAAAGGCAAGTTACCAAGCAGTTTTTAGTTAATGAAATTTTTATTGGGAACCATATTTCCAGAGCTTATGTAGATGGCTTTCTGATGGTCTTTTTTTTTGCTTTTTCTAAATAAAACTTGGAACATATACAGAATAAATTGACTGAATGTCCCTAAAATAACTTCACAAAAATCTTAGTCTTGCTCAGTGTGTAGAGGATTGAGATTATTTTATGGGAAATATTTCTGTACTTAATCAGATTTCAACTTATGCTTCATATAGAGTGAATTCTTCTCCATCACTGGGTGGAATTTGGCTTATAAAACTCAACAGTGAACAGGTTACTGTGGCAAAATACATGCAACACAAAATTAATGTAAATGTATTAACCAGTAGCATTTAATATATTTACAGTATTGTATATAATCACTAATTCCAGAGTATTGTCATCATCCCAAAAGGAAATCTCATATCCTTTAAAGTCACTTTCCATTAAACCCTGACCCCTGGAAAGCACTAATCTATCTTCTGACTCTATAGACTATTTAAAGTTCTGGGTATTTTTATATAAATATAATCATACAATTTGTGCTTTTTGGGTGTATAATATTTTCAGGATTCATCCATGTAGTAGCTTGTACTGTTCCTTTTTATGGCTGAATAATACTTCATTATATTAATGTACCTTATTTTGTTTATTCATGATTGACTTTTGGGCTGTTTACACCTTATGGCTATTGAGAATAGTGTTTCAATGAATATTTGTATATAACTTTTTGAACATCCGTTTCAGTTCTTCTGGGCATACCTAGAAATGGAATTGCTGTGTCATATATTTATTGCCTTTAACTTATTTAAGAAACTGCCAAACTATTTTTCATTACAGTGCCCAATTTTATATTTCCACAAACAGTGTATGTGTTCAAGTTTCTCTACATCCTAGACAATACTTGTTATCATTTTAAATCTATAGCCATTTTAGTATGTGTGAACTTGTATCTCATTGTGGTTTTGTTTTTCCCTAATGACGTTGATCATCTTTTCATGTACGTTCTGGAAACTTGTCTATATTTTTCTGTAGAAGTATCTATTCAAGTCCTTTGTCCATTTTTTTGCATTATCGACTATTCGTCCTGATCATTGTACATTTTAGGTGTACAATATAATGACATTCATCATTGGAAATTTGCACCTTTACATAGTCTCTCTTGGTTCTTCTTTTTCCCCCTTCCTGTGCCCTCCCGTGTCCATCTTCAACTGGGTTGTTTATTATAAGAGTACTTTCTGGGCCTGGGATTCAGCTCAGTGTTCCGCTGCCTGCCTCAAGCAAGGCAGTGCTTGTGCTTGCACTTCAAGGTTCTGAGTTCGATCCCCATACCAAAAAAAAGAAACTTTCTGTGTACTAGAGCCTTGTCAGATATATGATTGTCAGATATTTCTCACTGTGTGAGTTATCTCTTCATTCTCTTGATAGCATCTTTTGTTGTTGTTGTTGTTGTTTTGTGGGACCGGGGATCCAACTCAGGACCTTGTGTTTTTGTTTTTGTTTTTTTTGGTACCGGGGATCGAACTCAGGACCTTGCACTTGTGCAGCAGTTGGCGAAACCACTGAGCTAAATCCCCGGCCCCAAGGACCTTGTGTTTGACAGGCAAGTGTGGACCCAATGAGCTACATGCCCAGCCCTGTTGTTTGAGGCAGGGTTTCACTGTGTAGTTTAGGCTGATCTTGAAATCACTGTGTAGCCCAAGGCTGGCCTGGAACTCCCAGTAATCCTCCTGTCTCAGCCTCTCAAGTGCTGGGATTACAGGCATGCACCACCACACTTGGCTTGATAGTATCTTTATTTGTTTTTTGGTACTAGGAATCCAACTCAGGACCTTGTGGTTGCAAGGCAGGTGCAGTGCCACTGAGCTAAATCTCTGGCCCTTGATAGTATCTTTTGATTCGCAAAAGGTTTTAATTTTGTTTAATGTGGTTTGT